CTCTTTAATTTTTCTGTGATCCTGTCACAAGTTTAATAAATTTGAACAAAAATTTGGGGCGCATTTCAGTAAGATTTTAATTAAATGGCAGTTTTGGAAGAGGATTACAGAATTATTGAGAAATTACTCGATATTTTTCCCCTTCTCCGGGTGTCAGAAGTTACCCGACGCCTTCCGCCATTTTATGCACCGTCTTTCTAGCAATTAAAATGGCGGAAAAATGATTTTCACAGCTAGAGCGCTAATTCTTCGTGGACATACACACCTCGCACATAACTAGCGATTTTTTTATAAACATCCCCGAAATACTTATGAGTTCACGACGTAATGGTATTCACAAATTCGTTTTAATGAAAATTTTCGCAGTTTTATGCTGTGAATTGTGATGAAAATTCCGCAAGTTTCATAACCGTTTCTCGCTTCCGTGTGTTGTGTGGAACAAGACAGTTGTAAAAAAAAAAAAGTCTAGGAAGAAGTTGAAGAGGGGAGAACACTGGAATGTCGAAGGAAACGTGACCTTGGGTTGGTACAGCATTTGTATGTACACCGGTCGATGAACGTTGTGATTACCGTTAGAAAAAAAATCGAGAGTCCACCGAAGATTGAACTTTCTATTTTTTTAGGCCCCTCTAATTGCGCATTCGGAGAAAGTCGAGAGGTGTGGGATTTTCCATGTTCTCTTGACGAAAAAAAATTCCATTTCACGGAGAGATGACTAATAATTTACAAAAGAGTGTCATTCTGTTCGATTCACCGTGAAATCTCAAATTTCACTTTGAATCTAGTGAAATTACACGTTTTTTGCCGCGTCAAGATAAAAATTCCTCGATTAATTGATTTCCATTGATAAAAAAGATAATATTCAGTGATAAATCAGAGATAAAACATCTTCCCATTATTTTTACATAAAATTCTGCATTTTTAATAAAATACGATTTCCAGAATTTCTTCTCTCGAATTTTTCATAACATTTTGACTTTTTAATTGTAAAATCCATGGAAATTTCAGTGAAATTATATAATTAGATTATAATTATGATTATAATTATAATCTAATTAATAATCTAAATATATATAATTACATTGAATTAATGAAAAATACGTATTTTGAAGGAAGAAATGTGTAAAAAATTCGGTAATTAACTCATTAATTCAAAGTGCACCGGAAATTCCAACGGACAATTTATAACAGTAATTTTTAAACGTCTTGGCATGAGACCCTGTCTAGTCCACGATCACACACACGGAAACCGCAAATCGACATTATGAAAAACCCCATCATTTAGCAAATCTCCACATCATCAACTCCGTCTCCCCGTAATTTGAATTTCCCTGATTCCAATCCACATTTTCTCCCGAGACGGATGTAAAAA